TGGAGAGCGGAGCAACATGGCGGCGAGGAACGCTGCGAGTAAGATCTCCATTAAAAAAGTGAATAGGGAGGAAAAGCGGCAGGTCCCAGTGAGAACTGGGACACGGAAGATAAACGGGTGACGCCAGCGAACTGCCCGAAGAAGAAAGTGGCCATAAAAGAGGACTAGAAGGGAGGGAAGCGCAGAACCCTGCTCCCCTCCCCCGCCCACAGAGGCGGCACTCTCCGACCGGCAGAGAGGAGGAAACAAAACAAAACAAACCAACAAGAACAAACGACGCAGCAAGCGGGACTGTGAGTGGAAAGGAACTATTGCAGCCACCACACCCCGTGAACGGAGCTGAGGCGAACCCTGCAGGATCCGCCGCGGCGGTGAGCGAACGGCTCCGGGCGCCATTAGAGAAGAACAAAGACCCCGGGAGACGCGCACACAGCCCGGGCTGCCGGTAAGCTGCGCGCGAAACGCGGCGCGCCTGGCGCGCTTGAAAAGCAAGTGCAGACCGGATCGCGGCTGCCCAGGTCCCCGCGCCTGCGACCTAGGCTTGCGGGGAGACGACCTAGGCTTGCGGGAGACGCACGGAGGTCCTCACTGAGGTGAAGGTCCCTCCCTGAGTGAGCAGGAACCAGCGCCCAGGCACGGGAGCGGGGCAAAAGGCGCCATTCCCGCGCCACTGAACTGGGCTACAGCCCGCGTCCTGGAACTGAGGGCTTTGAACTGAGACCCGGGGCACGAAAATTCGGGGCGTGGTTTCTCCACGACGGTGGGGCACAAGGCAGACACAGCACCCCAAAGCTGTTGAGGTGTACCCTACCATTCCCGCTCTGTTCCTCTTCCCACGGGGTGGGGGGAGGCGAAAAACAGCCCCCCAAGGACAATAGGAGAGATCTCTGGCGCCACCTAGCGACCAGAAAAAAAAAGTCACTAACACCCTATAAAACAGGACATTTCTTAAGACTGCTTGAAAAGGGCAGAAGGTTTCTGGAGGACCCAGTGGCCAGCCGGGAAGTTATTCCACGCCAGGCCCCTTCCGACCAGCAGTCTGAGCCCACAGAGGGAGCAGGCACCCACGTCCGGGGCAGACCGGGTGCGCAGAAGAGTGTGCCTGAAACCGGAGGCGCAGGGACTGCATCCCGCTTCGCCATTTGAGAACAGGGACATTTCTTCAGTAAAAACTGCCTAAAACCAGCAGAAAGCTCCCGAAGACAGAGATGGCTCCTGGAAGAGCCAGAGGGGAGCGGAGAAGTTCACCCAAGATGTCAGTCAGTCCGAGCAACACAGTGTCCCAACGCATACGACAAATTAGAAAACAGACAGTAGGGAGTAGAAGAACCACACGCAACCTAAAAACTCCTCAGAAAGAAGCACACCACAAAAAGAAAACCACTCCCCAGATTGCAACGACAGCAACTTGGAAGAACTTCTGAGCCTTCCAGAAAGAGAATTTAAAATTGCCATGATTAAAAAAGTGATAGATCAGAAGAAGGAATTGAGTCCCTAAAGAGGGAAGTAAGAGAAATGCAGGAGATCAAAGATTAATGGAGGAACTAAAGAACTCTGGGAAAAGCAATGAAAGCAGAATAGATGAAATGGAAGAACGAATAAGTAATCTTGAAGACACAGAAATAAAAAGAACCAAACAGAAAAGGAAAGAGAAGTACGAAGGAAAAAGAATGAAGAAAGACTTCGGGAACTATCTGACTCCATGAGGAAAGGAAATATAAGAGTTTATAGGAATTCCAGAAGGAGAGGAGAGAGATGTAGGAACAGAGAAAATATTCATGGATATAATTGAAGAGAACTTCCCAAATGAGAAGAAGGAGCTGAAAATTGATATACAAGAAGCAAGAAGAACACCAACTTCCACGACGAAAGGAAAAACACAGCAAGACACATAATAGTAAAGCTCCCAAGAATCCAGGACAAGGAAAAAATAATGAAGCTGACAAGAGGGAAGAAACAGATAACATTCAAAGGAAAACCAATCAGGCTGACATCAGACTTCTCTGAAGAAACACTACGGGCAAGGAGAGAGTGGAGGGACATAGTCAACAGACTCCAAGAAAACAGATGCCAACCAAGAATACTCTATCCCGCAAAGCTCTCTTTCCTCCATGAAGAAAGAATATGGACCTTCCCAGACAAAGAGAAACTCCGATTTCATTGCGACTAAACCCCCACTCCAAAAAATACTAAAGGAATCCTAAAGCCAGAACCTCAGAGGGACGAATAACAACGAAGAAGACCAAAAAAAAAAAAAAAGTATTAAAAGAATAAATAAATAAATCAAAGGAAAGACAAACATAATGGCAAATACAGATGCTAACATATCAATATTAACTCTAAATGTAAATGGACTAAACTCTTCAATAAAAAGACACAGAGTTGCAGCCTGGATTAAGAACAAAACCCAACCTTTGCTGTCTCCAGGAAACACATTTAGCTACAAAAGATAAAAATAGGCTCAAAGTCAAAGGATGGAAAACAATCCTACAAGCAAATGGGCCAAAAAAGAAAGCAGGAACAGCTATACTTATATCAGATAAACAGACTTCAAACTCAAAAATAAAAAAGAGACCCCAATGGTCACTACATTATGATTAAGGGGACAATACTTCAAGAAGAAATAACACTCATTAACATATACTCACCAAACGAAAGAGCACCAAAATATATCAGACAACTGTTGTCCTCTCTGAAAACAGACATCAGAGAAACACATGTAGTGGGAGACTTCAACACACCACTATCAACAATGGATAGATCAACAAGACAAAAAATAAGTAAAGAAACTAAAGCTCTAAATAAGGACCTAGAGCATTTGGGCTAACAGACATCTATAGAACACTAAACCCAAAAAAACGGAGTACACATTTTTCTCAAGCGCACACGGATCATTCTCCAGGATCGATCACATACTGGGGCACAAGACAAACATCAACAGATACACCAAGATTGAAATCATACCAACCATCTTTTCTGACCACGAAGGCATCAACTAGAAATAAATCATAAAAAGAAGGCAAGGAACTATCCTACCTCATGGAGATTAAAAGCCACACTACTGGAAGACCACTGGACTAACGAGGAGATCAAAGAAGAAATTAAAAAATTCTTTGAATTGAATGACAAGGAGGACACCAATATCCTAAATGTATGGGATGCAGCAAAAGCAGTAATAAGAGGAAAATAATAGCAATAGAAGCTCACATCAAAAAACAAGAAAGAACTCAAAGAAACAACCTAATCTCGAAGCTCAAAGATCTAGAAAAGAACAACAAAAAAACCCCAGAACCAGTAGAAGAAAAGAAATAATAAAAACCAAAGCAGAAATAAATGAAATTGAAACTAAAAAAACAATCCAAAAGATCAATGAAACCAAGAGCTGGTTCTTGAAAAAATAAATAAAATAGACAAACCCCTAGCCAGGCTCACAAAGGAAAAAAGGGAGAAAGCACAAATACACAGAATCATAAATGAAAGAGGAGAAATCACAACGGACACAGCAGAAATCAAAAGAAATCAGTAACTACTATGAACAGTTATATGGAAACAAGTTCAACAATCTAGAGGAGATGGACAAATTCCTACAACTCTACAATCACCCAAAGCTAGATAAAGAAGAAATAGAACACCTAAACAGACCAATTACAAGCAGCGAAATTGAAATGGTAATTAAAAAACCTCCCCAAAAACAAGCCCAGGACCTGATGGATTTACAAATGAATTCTAACCAAACATTCAGAGACGAATTAGTGCCTATCCTTCACAAACTCTTCAAAAATTGAGAGGAAGGGAC